CAAATCTGGTTAAACCAGAGCATGTACACTGGTACACGTAAGAGCTGGAAACAGGGAATCCAGGACAAATAAACCCCTCAGGACCAATGAGAGTAGCAATATCAGGAGGGGTAAGGGAAAGGTGGGGTGGAAAAGAGGGAGCCGATCACAATGAACTACATATAACCCCTTCCCTGGGGGACAGACAATTGGGAGACATCAGACAGTGTAAGACAAATAAATTATAAATTATCAAGGGTTCGTCAGGGAAGGTGGGGGAGGGAGGGGAAAATGAGATGATACCAAGGGCTCAAGTAGAAAATGTTTTGAGAATGATGATGGCAACAAACACACAAATGTGCTTGACACACTGGATGGATGTATGGATTATGACAAGAGTTGTATGAGCCCCCAAGAAAATGGTTTAAACAAAAAAAGAAAAAAGCCCAAAAGTCACAAAAACTGTAACTTAGAATTTACACATTTAATGTTGATCTGGGTAATATAACTTTTAAAAACCACCAATATAGTTCAATGCAGAACATAAAGTCTACCAGATGTCCACTGGCATGTTTTCCTTTGGGATTATAGAACAGCATGAGCATTTCTAGTCACCTGTGTATGCACACCTGGGAAAGTGCAGTAAGGAAGTGTTTGCCTAAGGACGTTGGGAGGTTGAAAAACTACTGTGGAGCCATATCTGACTTCTGACTTCCTAAGTGGGGAAACTCAAATCAAACAGTGCCACTGGGTCTCCTGACTTGGTGACTGAGGACAAAACCTTGTGGGTTTCTGACACTATGGGTGTAGAAAGCCTTGTCGTTCTCCCATGGAGGCAGGTTAGTTTGAACTTCTGACCTAGTCCAACATGTAACCAGGACATCACCAGGTGGAATAAGGTGGAAGACGGGCCAAACTTCAACCAAGGTTGAATCCTGTGAATTAGAGGTCAGATATGGCTGAATTCTTGCAATCTTTGCCATTTCTGTCCCTCCCAGCGCACTCTACTCAGCTGGGTTTGCTAACTTATGACTACGCAGAACTACAGACCACACTCATGATTGTGGGCTTTATTAGGGGGAGCTTAACTATCAGAAATGCTCAGGATAATTCTTCAATTGGAATCGCCTTTTCTCAGCCATGCCCCAGGCATGCCTTTCTTCTCCCACTCGGCCTGTGTGCCAGCTCCTAGAGCACACTCCACTCTGCCTTCAGAAAGCCGCTCACTCTGAAGGGACCCTCGGTGGGTTGGCAAACCTAGCTCCCCATATGAAGGCTCCAACCGCAGAAGATGCCTCTGCTCAAAGACCTAAAGCTTTA